CTATTAAATCTGGTATTTTCCCAGACGCCCTCAAATTGGCCAAAGTAACACCTGTATTTAAAAAAGGAGTCACTACAAATCCTTCGAACTATAGACCAATTTCAGTTTTATCGGTATTTTCTAAATTGTTAGAAAAGCTCATGCACGCCAAACTCACTGGTTTTTTAGAACGTTTTGAAATTATTTTTACTTATCAATTTGGATTTCAGAAATTCAACTCTACCTACATGGCCATTTTATATTTCATTGAACAAATTCGAAAATCAACTGATTTGGGGAAAACGAGCATTGGCATAACATTAGATTTTTCCAAGGCCTTTGACACTATTAATCATGACATTTTGATACAAAAACTTGAATATTATGGCATCAGAGGAATAGCTAAGTCCTGGTTTGAAAGTTAGTTAAAAGACTGCAAACAATATGTCACCATTAACAATTATGAATCTAAACAATCATCTCTAAATTGTGGTGTTCCGCAGGGCTCGGTACTTGGACCACTATTATTTATTCTTTACATAAATGATCTGCCTTTTGTTGACCCTAATCTAAAATTTATTATGTTTGCTGATGGCACCAATCTTCTTGATAGTGATTATGATTTAAATGAACTTATGACTAGAACTAATGCAAACTTGAATTCAATAGATGACTGGATAAAAGCAAACAAACTTTCACTTAATATTGGCAAAACCAATGCTATTCTATTTGGACCCCAAAAAAAAATCAAACAAATCTGAATCTCAAAATACGCAATGAGAACATAAATTTCCGGGATAAAATTGACTTTCTTGGAGTTATTATTGATAAAAACTTGAAATTTAAAGGGCACATAAAATCTATTGAAACAAAGATTTCTCGCGTCATTGGTTCTCTTTATCACATTAAACATCTACTTCAAATAGACAGTTTCAAAACAATTTACTACTCATTGATACACTCTCAATTAAATTATTGCAACATAATCTGGGGTAACACATTTAAATCATTTTATGATCGTCTACATAAACTGCAGAAACAATTCTTAAGGCTAGCTTTAAATAAGGATAGACCTTCTCACTCCGCTCCCTTATTTGAAGATCTTAACATATTAAATATTTTTGATGTCAACAGATATTGTACTGGTCAGTTCATGTACAAAATCTTTAATAAGCACCCCAGTCTTCCAAAAAATCTATTTCAAGACTTGTTTGATATCAACATTAATATTCATCATCATTACACAAGACAATTGCATTATTTTCATATCCCTAAATGCTCTAAACTTTCCCTTCGCTATCTAGGTCCTAATCTTTGGAATGCTCTACCACATGATATTAAAAAATGCTCCACTCTAAATATTTTCAAATCTTCATATAAAAAAACTACTCATCTATCGATAATGTATAATACCAATATCATACTATACTGTTGATTTTATACTGATACCTGGTTTTTGTAACATTTTTACATTGTACATCCTTAGATTAATTGTTAATACCATTTTATATACCTACATGTAACATAATATAAGTGTTTTCTTTTATATGTAGTCTAGATGTCATTTTAATGATTTCTGTTAAACCGCAACATATACCCACTAGGGTGTCTAGCGGCTTGTTTTTAAAGTGTATATTATATAAGAATTATGAAATAAATTGAATTGAATTGAATTGAATTATATATTTATTATATATTTTTATTTTTTGGGATCCTGTTTTTACGGCGTTCGCATTAAATACAAACCACTCTGTTACGTCACGTATATGACGTTCGTTGAATTATCGCAATCAGAATGTCAGACGAAATGGAATTTCCATTACAATTTATCTGACTATTCAATGTTCGCTGGATAATAATTCCCAATGGGATAAACGGACAATCCTATAGTTTTTCAAAAATATCACTTATATCCACTCATGGATATCAGTATCTTCACTCATTCGCTGCGCTCACTCGCGAAGATATCAATATCCACTCATGGATATAAGTGATATTTCAGAGCCATAGGATATTCCTATATTATTCCATAGTTAGCATGATATCCATAGGATAACATGTCAAAATAAAAACGGTATTTTTGAAATCAGTGGTAAAATATGATATTTTTGGCAAATTTTCACTTAACCATAGCATACGGTGTTTTAGCCATGACATGCGGCGCCGTATGCCATGGTTTATGGATTTTTGCTACTTCAGACTCAAAACGAGGCTAAGTGTCAATATCGCCGTATCGTTTGGAAAATTCGTTTTAGATCACTTAATTCCCGAAGATTCTGATGATGACTTTAACTATGGAATATAAAGAACATCCTATGATTTACTCGTGATATGATTTTAATTCACTCATGGATGTTGATACATGTATCTACACTCTCTCGCTACGCTCACTCGTGCAGATATCATATCCATTCGTGGATAAAAATCATATCACTCATAAATCATAGGATATCCTCTATTTAAGATGTGATATTCGATAGTTTAAAAGTGATATTCGATGGTTTGTAAATTGTTTGATAAAATATGATATCTTGATCCACATATCAAATATATCATCATGTGATATTCGATCTATATCCTCCTTGCAACCATGGGATAAAGCTTTACGTCCCGCTCCAAGCGGGCAGATGTAGTATATCTGCCCGCTACGTCATAATCGCCGCTTGCATATTTGTTCATAATTTGTAACGTTCGCGGAATGACTGTAAACGGCAATGGAGAAAACACAGACAATTAGGGTCTGTTTGATAGTTAAAAAAAGGGAAAGGGCATCCACTTTATCAATAAAAAATTCGAGAAAATAAATATGGGATTATTTGAGAGAACATGAAAATCCGCCCACGGCCAAGAAAACAAAACTGGACATGAATATTCTAAAATATTTCCACGATTTAACAATGTGAACCAGATGACCAAGATTGGTATGGGATAAACATATTATCATATAGTCAGGATATTGGGATTATCCCTTGGCCAATATATAGGGGTTATGCAATTGGAGGTTTTGGATACAGGGAATATCCCGAGGGATATACAATATATCTTCCCGAGGGATCGAAGGGACCAAGGGAAGACATATTATATATCCCTCGGGATATTCCCTGTATCCAAAACCTCCAAGTGCATAACTGTTGTATATAGTTTAGCATGATATGTACTTCTTTCTGTAACTGGAATACGATTCTAATATACAAGCAGCACATACGTATTCCCGGGGAACCATAAATATTTTGTGTAGTGTGTGGACATTTTTCTTTTCATTTCTCTAAAATCAGATTATTCTCATAAAATTCATACAAAGTTGGGCCTAAGCCTCTATTTTCGTATTCTGCATGTAAAGATATTTATAATGTAAAACCTAAGAGATAAATTCAATGTCTTCAGTTGAGAATAAGTATAAGGTAAATGTGTGAATTCTGCTTGTTGTTGCACTATTTTTATAATAAACAAGGTTCGATACGCAACACTGAATAGACTGCAGTCATAGCTTAGTTGTAAAGAAAACAAAAGAAGTTGGGACGTGGTCATGCTTGAATACGATTTTAAATATATCGCCGTTTACATTTGTTGAAATCGGCCTGTATTAATTTCAACAGGTGATCGGTGTACAAGGGCATATATTTGAGTTGTTGGTTTAACGATAAGTATGACCTATGAGTGGGTAACGTTTTACAAATGCATGAAACAAATACTCCAATGGCCTAATCTCAATTTTCCTGCATAAACTATTACATTGAAATGATGGTCATTTGCTCTCTAACTTCCGCACCGCATACGTAACTTCGTAACAATTCAATAAGCCAAGACAGGACCGCTATAATCGCTACATGCCAGTGTCTTTTGGATAGTTTCCAGGTTTTCTAATCCTTTAGCGGGTAGTGTAATTGGCATTTTTTCAATTTATATGAATGCATGGTTGACCCCAGTTTCACCAGTGTACTTTATAAAGACATTCAGTTCAGTATGTAAGACAGTCCACAACACGTGGAAATTTCAACATTTTACAACAGTTTTACAGCAGTTTTACTTCATTTTAATACAATGGCTGAGAGTAAATCGGACATTCTTGAAGCAGGCAGGAAGTGCAGTAAGTGTAGGGGCCTTATAAGACATCATATTGGCCCTCATGGAACTAAATGTGACTTTGAAATTCAAAAAGAATATCGAGATCAGGACGTTGAAGTCGATGTTACCAATGAGATTCTAGAATTAAAGAATCTCATGGAACGTATGATGATAAGTAATGAAACTTTCAAGCAGTTTGTGAAGACTGAGATGGAATCCATGAAGCATGAGATATTGCAAATAAAGTCTCGTTCCAATGATAGCAATGATATACCATCAACATTTTCTGTACCGTCAATGTCACCCAAGAAAGTCGTACCATCAGCCCCTGCTAAATCGTCCATACCTGTTATGACGGAAACGAAAGTCTCTACCGAAGCAGATGAATCTGACACATCAATGATTCTAGATTATCCTGTACCTCAGAAAACAATAAAAGCAGTCAAATCTGGTAAGTTTGTGAACATGATAGATTAACTACCAGCTAATCTTGTGAATGATTACAATGAAAATCCATATCCTATCATTTTAACACTTGATAACGGACATCTTCGTCAACAACACAAGCGTAAAGTTAAAACGATTACTAGCTTTAATCAGTGGTTATCTGCTTGGAGTATCTATGAATGTATACTGATTGAACAAAATCCGATCTTGTATTCGAGTCTTATCGCATATCGCACACTTATCCAGGAATGGATTTTGAGAATGAATGGATATTGGATATTTTGGAAAAATGAAACAAATTGATTAGACATTACACACATACAAGCTATTTTGACTGATTGACAGATACTATCACCTGACAGCTGGTAAAAAACACTATAGACGTCTCGTCGAAGAGCTCCGGTATTGGAAATTTTGAAATACTATTTTGAATTTCTTAGTACGCATATAATATTTACTTGATCTTCTTTAATATTTTCACAACTTGCTAATAATACTCCAAGGGTACAATGTACAAATTTTCAGTAAATTTGGTTCATCAGTTGCCGAGAAAGTACTTGTCAAAAAGTGTCTCATTTTTTGGGACACCCGATATATTCACTATATGAATATATTTGCTTTCAGATTCAACACTGCTTTAATAAAGCTGGTATACCCGTGGAGAGGATTGACACAATTAGGTAGCTTTATAGATGTATTTTCGTTCATACATGTAGTTCCATATTTTCCTGATTTGTACTTGTAAAGACAATTTTGATTGTCTTTTACTTTTAATGCGCTTTAATCTTATTTGAGTTTTCCATGTTTAGCTTGGTGAACTTTACTACTCTCCCTGACAGAGTACTTGACTTTGAAGTTGTATATGATCCTTTGGAGATTAACAAAAGAAGAATAGACTGGGCAGACGCTATAAAAGACAAAGTACTTACATGCTTACAAGATCTCAATATAGATGGCGTTATTGTGAAGCCTGATAGTGTTGATGACATCGGTACAGAAACTGAAAAAGGTAGCTGTGGCTCTCATGTCAAAATAAACAATTGAACCGAAGTACTTGAATAGATAAATAATTGATCGAACTTTTACATACGAGTTTATACAAGTTTATTCAATGTGTTGTTGAACTGCCGTATGTTTGCATCCGTTTGTATCTAATATACAGTCGCGTGTATCTGATTTACAGCTGTGTGTAACAGATTTGCAGCTATGTGTATCTAATTTACAGTCTGATTTGCAGCTTTCTGTATCTTACTGCAGCCGTAAGTGTCTGATTTGCAACTATGTGTATCTAATTGCAGCTGACCCGTGCCTTCTAAATCCACAGTTTTGTAACGATGTGCCGTTTTATGTTTGCTTCTCAAATGCAACTAATGTTGTGTGCAAATTCAAGTGTTTACAAACTGTAACATCATGCAGTGAGCACGAAACATGCAGGATGAATACTGCAGGAGAAATCGCCTTTGGGGAATGTGTGTAAGTACATATATTTATATAAGAGAAATTATATCTAGTGAATATAAAATATGCAGATTATTCACTCGAGGAGAAGTAGTCATTTGTGTATATAAGAGAAATATGAAGTGCACATATGAAACATGCAGAGTATTCACTCCAAGAGAAATAGTCATTTGGGAATGTGTGTAAGTACATCTATTTATATAAGAGAAATATCTAGTGAATATTAAACATGCAGAGTAGTCACTCATGGAGAAATAGTCATATGGGAATGTGTATAAGTACATCTATTTATATAAGAGAAATATGTAGTGAATATAAAACATGCAGAGTAGTCACTCATGGAGAAATAGTCATATGGGAATGTGTATAAGTACATCTATTTATATAAGAGAAATATCTAGTGAATATAAAACATGCAGAGTAGTCACTCATGGAGAAATAGTCATATGGGAATGTGTATAAGTACATCTATTTATATAAGAGAAATATGTAGTGAATATAAAACATGCAGAGTAGTCACTCATGGAGAAATAGTCATATGGGAAATGTGTGTAAGTACATCTATTTATATAAGAGAAATATGTAGTGAATATAAAACATGCAGAGTAGTAACTCATGGAGAAATAGTCATATGGGAATGTGTGTAAGTACATCTATTCATATAAGAGAAATATGTAGAGAATATATAACATGCAGGGTATTCACTCATGGAGAAATAGTTATTTGGGAATGTGTGTAAGTACATCCATGAATAAACGCAAGGAGCACACGCGTCTCGAACTCGCAACCTCGTGGTTACGGCCCCAATCGCCTAGCCTAAACGTGCTAGCACTCAAGCCCTCTCGGCCAACTCGACAACCCCAAAAAAGGTTGCTTTGTTAGTCGATCTGACTAGAGGCAGCTGATGTTAACGTTCAGACACTCCAGAGGAAGCACCCTAACCTTTTTTTCATTCTCAGAAAAAAGGAAAAAAACATGCAGAGCAATTTAGAGCAATATATTAGACACATTTTCTGAAAAAATCAAGAGATTCTGTTCATTGACCTTTCCTGAGCACCTACTTTTAGCTATTTTTCAGTCACATTTTCAGAGGGCTGAAAAGGTTATTTCATCATGTTTATGGTCATTCTGACCATTTTCCTTGTGTTCCCGGTCTTGTAAATATGTTGAACTAGTTAAACTGACTGGAGGTCAAACAGAACTCTGTTAACTTGGTTCAAAAAAATTTCAGAATCCAGCATGTTTTTGACATTTTTTTGTTTGTCATTTCTGTTAACTTACATAGCACCTTAAATTACAAATTAAAAAGTGTTGCATGAAACACATTGATGAATTTGTTCATACAAACTGGAGAAAGTATATAATTGGGTTCTCCACTTTCAATGAACACATTTTTTGTACTTTCTCCTGCATGTATGAATAAATATTTTGTGTCCATTCTCCAACATGCATAAGCAAATGATTTGTACTTTCTTCATTGTGCATGAACCAAAATGTTGTTCATTCTAACATTGTTAATTAATCAATGTGTCAGAACGAATAGAATGTACCTAAACCAGTGAGTATGAACGAATTTAATGTACTACAATATCTATAATGTGTATGAAGAGACATTACGCTCTTTCTCCAGTATGGACATGAACCAACACGCCTGTGTATATACTTTCTCCAGTATGTACGAACAAATATCATGTACTCCATTGTTTATGAACACACATTTTGTATGAACAAATACTATGTACTTTCTCCAGTGTGTATAAACGTACAGAGTATTGGTTAAATAACTAGTGAAAGTACATAATATTTGCTCATACACACTGGAGAAAGTACATGATATTTGTCAATACACACAGTTAAAATTTATTGTTTCATATATACACTGGAAAAATATAAAAAGTAGTCCATACACACAAAGTAAATAAAACAATAAAATATTGGTTTAGGCACATGGGAAATTAACCTAGTTTCGATTCATACATACTGGAGAAAGTATACACAGAGGAGTGTGACTCAGAAAATGTGACTCAAAAACAGTTAAAAGTTGGACTTTTAGAAAGGTCACCAGACAGAATCTATTGCATTTTTGAGAAAGTGTGCCAAATATATTATTTAAAATTATAGAAGCTTTTGAAAATTTGAATTCATTCCTAAAAATAGAAAAAATGAGAAACTGCTTTAGAAAGCAATCCATTCTCTTTTTATGATCACAATTTTTGTTTCAGACAACGTTTCAAAATTTCAAAGCTCCTATGACATGTATGATTTAGAGTAATATATTGGGCACATTTTCTGAGAAGTCTTTCACATGATGTTTAGGGTCATTCATTCATACAAACTAGAGAGAGTATGAGAATATTGATAATCCAATCTGAGTAATATGATAGATAGTTGGTTCTTCAACTAGAGATGTTTACTTAGATTTTGAATATCAAATAGATTTGGATCAAGAATCTGATCTTCTTAACTTAACTTTGAGCATACAGATAAATATTCAATGGATTTACATAAAATGCAGAGTTCCTGTGACAATGGCATTTATTTTTAATGATCAAGAAAGTACTTTGCACCCTCCCGCAAAATTAGGAAGAAGCCAGAGCTTTCATTCTGGTACACATCGCATCTAGAAACATGCCTGTGTCTATCATGTAAGAAGAGAGGGCCAAGGTATTCCATAATGGAGCATTTTGGAAACCCTTCTTAGAAATTGCTATGCTGAAAATGGGCTATTGGTAAACACTATGTACTAGTAATGCAGATTGCTCCGATTTTCACTACGGCGCCATGCCGATTGAGTATTTTGTTCAAAATTGAATACAATATTGAACAAACGGAGCAAATGTGACCCAGGCATCAGTGTAGTATGAATTTATTTTGTTAGGATGCCAGTCAGAGCTCTTGATGCAAGTACCAAGTTTGCAAACATGCATGTCAACCATGGCCAATTAGAAAAGTGCACCCCTTCTATATGATAATATAAACCCTTCCTACACCTTGGTTTAGCTTTGGATCACAATGCTATCACTATGTGGCAGAAATGCATTCTGATTGGATATAAATGATCACATGACTTAGTTCACCAAGGTATCAGGAGATGGCATGCCAAAATGTAAAATCTCTAATAAAAGCACTGTCCTCCTTTGGTTTATGTGAAAAGTAGCTAATACCCTCATGTATTGGTCAGTTTGTGTGTCACACGACTAATCCACACCATATGCTTCATTCAACATATTTTATGCTATTAAGCTGCATATATAAACAGTACTTGAAGTAAACGTACTACTGGATGAACTTAGGTCATACAGTATACTTACCCCTTGCAAATTGTAATTTATTGAATTCACAGTAAACCCATCAATTTTTAAGAATACAATGAATATTGTTCTCATGGATCTATTATTTATGTTCAACTAACTATGAAAATATAAATATGAAATAATATGTTAGCTTGAAGTCATATATAAGATGAAAATATATGTTCATACATTTGCATTTTTCCGAAAGGAATATTCCCATGTAAGTAAATACAGGTGCAATATATAAGTTATATGTATATCTATGTCATCTGTCTATACATGCGCGTATAGCCTAGTGATACATGTGAACAAGATGGTTCTGGAAAGAAATGAGCGTGGCAGATTTGCTAAAAAGCCACATACACCACAAAAGCAAGACCAATTTGAAAGTAAGTTCATTATTCTCAAGGGTCCACTTCAAGTGATAGCTACATAGCTACAGGGTAGCCTATCATTCTGAGACAGATGTATTATCCAACGAATGTGATTTTCGAAGCTAAAATATGATATCTTCATAATGTATCTTGAGCAGATGGAAATACATTCCCATGAGATATTGTATATATAGTCAAAAGTCATAACTATTTATTGAGTGTAATGAAACATATCCTTCGCTAACTGCTTTTGTTTGAGATAATTTTATGTGTGTCATTGATCCTAATCCACCCTGTAGTCTGGTGTTTGTAGAGCATTGCACCTCGTACAACTTATTCTCACTAATATCAAACCTTATTAACTAATTAATTTTTTGTGTGAATATGAAGAGTCCAAGCATTGCTTTTTATGTTTATTGAATAGCTATATTTAGCCTTGATAACCATGATTTTTTAAAACAAAATCTCACCCTTAGATTTCGAGCTATTCATGTTTACTCATTTTTCTAATTGGAAAACAATGCAAATCTCATTTTTTCAAAGGAAAAAAAATGAAATTCTAAGACGGTGAAAAATCATTAAAAAATACACAGATTCAGAATCCGGCAAGCATTTTCCCTTATTCCTCTCCATTAAGAAGTTTTGTAAGGTGTTGGGTCCCTTTAATAGGATCAAAGTCATAGTGTAGTCGAAATCAGTTGTCTGCATCTCTCTCACTGTGGCGTAATGGTATAAGCGTTTGCATAATGTGTATTTATTACTGCAATTGTGATTTGTATTTATTAGGTTCCAAGTTCGAATCCTGCTTTGGTGTATCTTGTGTAAATATGTTAACCGACTCCACTGTTTATAATATTGTCTCAATAGTTTGTAGCCAATTATTGTTGCCCTTTTTCATTTTCAAAGGATACCACCTTATTAGTTTTTATTGATAAATATATATTATTCTTTATTCATTTCCTTATTTATTCTTCCTATTCACTTTTTCCTACTTCTAGCTAGGTCTAAGTTAACTCTTATATGCTTCTACTAAGGACCTGAGCTGCACTTTGCAGGAAAGGAATTTTTATCTCAATGGTCAAAATCTAGGTCAAATCAGAGTTTATTCAGAGTTTCTCAGATTTTGTCCTCATACTTCATTATTTCTTGCGATGAATTAAAATGTAACTAGATATAAGCATTCCCTACAAATTGCTAACTACATTTGTCTATGTTTGCTTTATTCTCTTTACCGTGACAAATGTCTTTTTAAAAATCATCTACAAGTCCCCGGGAACTCACATCTGACCTTACTTTTGAGCTTCTGGGTTCAAATTTAGGTTCTCATTTGATCATAAAATACCTACTGAAGTCTAAAAAAGTCAAATTTGCAAGGTCAAAGGTCAAGGTCATCAAACTAAATCACAAACTGTGCTTTCTAAGTTTCTGAAAGTTAATGATTACAAATCAATATTTTTTGATGAAAGTCAGAATATATGTTTCACTTAAAAAAGGGTCTACACATATTAGCAATTGTCTATTTATTTCAATTGTGCACCAGGTTTGAGATATAGGAACTCAAAAACTGAAAAAGGTCAAATTTCGAAACTTTTCAAAACTAAATTTCAACTTGCTTCAGATCGACCAAACATATTTTAAAGATCGTTAACAAGCTGGCAGGAGCTCAAATCTGACCTTAGTTTTGGCCTTCAAAAGGTTGAAAAGGTTGATTTTCAAGTTGAATTTTATTCAAAATTAGGTACATTTAATCAAAAAGACCTACTTAGGTCTAAAAAGTCAAATTTGCAAGGTCAGGTTCATCCAACTAAATCACAAAATTTTGCACCAGTTTTTTTAGATATAAGAGCTCAAAAACTAAGAGTCAAATTGCAAATTTAAACAAATAAATAAAGAATATCTATAAAAACTAATGAGGTGGTATCCTTAGAAAATGAAATGGGCAACAATTATAAAATCTATTGAGACAATATAGCATACGGTTAACATATTTACAAAAGACAACCAAAGCAGTGTAGACGGTTCACATATTTACATAAGATACACCAAAGTAGGATTCGAACCTGGAACCTAATAAATACAAATCACAATTAAAAAATACATATTATGCCAACGCTTATACCATTAAGCCACAGTGGGAGAGATGCAGATAACTGATTTCGACTACACTATGGCTTTGATCCCATTAACCACTAGTATTAAATCCTATCAACGGGGGACATTACAATTTGTTACTGGTGTGACAGATCTGAGAGTCTCCCCAGTTATAACTGTCTCCCCATAGTAAATATAGGAAATGAAACCTGGTTTTCAATGTCCTCCAACTGACAGCCAACCCTAGGGATCGGGGCCCGTTGAATCCGTAGGACCCCGATCTTTAGGGTTGGCTGTCCCACGGACACTGACCACTGTGGGACACTTAAATCTGTTACACCGGCAGCTTTTGGCGTTATAGTTCATTGAAGGACAGTTTTATAGAATCCCTCAGCATGAGCATCGCCTTGTTAGATTCTATTGACAAAAAGGCTTGAACATATGATTAAAAAAATCCATTCAAATTGTCGCATCGTTAATGAAGGGTGCTGGTTAGTTAATCATGATAATGTTGAATTTCAGATGTAATGAGCCAACAAATATAAACTTAGTGTTCCTGAACAACTGGTGCGTTTACAGACCAACCTTCTTTGCTGTTGTGTTGTCAATTGTCTGTGGGTTGATCCTCGTCATCTCTGTACTTTGTTTGTGCCTTATATGTAGACGACGTTGTAGGAAGAAGAGGTAAGCCATGGATCTGTGACTTGTCTTTTGTGCCTTTTACAATCTGGATCAATAAGTACAGGGAAAACCAGACACGTTTAACTAAAAAAAACTAAAGAGGAAAACTCAGGCTGAACAACTGATGTTTTCAAATATACCAATCAATTATGGACAATTATCCCAGTCAACAGTCCCTAATCATTATGAAACCTGTATTTATATTTGTATTACTTATTCCTCAAACAGAAACTTCCACTTTACAGATTAAGTGTATTTATTAATAATTGCAAATTGCGAATAGTAGAACGTTATCTGCATATATGACCGTTAAGTTGTTTTGGATCTCCAGATATATAGGGCAACCCTATTTGCAGCGCAACAATGGATACTTGTCTCAGTGGACACGTTCAATTCTCAGATGGTGAAACATTGCCCTGTGTTTGTAACATATAAAAATAAAGGGAAATAAAAAATACCAGTCATAAGTGTAATGTAAAACATTGAAATCATTCCAGCCATATGTCTCAAGAACAAGGAACGCAAATGTCAGAGAATGGAGACGTTATAGAGCCAGTTTATCGTATAAGACCATTGGATGTCAGAGCTGCTCAACGCAATACACACAACATCTATGACAACTACATTTCAAGTAATGACCCATATGATGATGCTAATGTAAGCGCAAATATTATTTTCTTAAATTTAGCTACGTAGGATATCTCATGTTTCGGTAAATTAAGAAATATAGACCGAAGAGCAGGGGTAATATCGTCGAACACACCCCGCAGGGCTAGGCACAAACGTTTTCTGTACCCTGAACCACCGAAGGGAGTGAGGGGTTCGAAAGCTTTTGTGCCTAGCCCTAAGGGGTGTATTCGATTCGAACATGAAAACTCACCAAAATGTTTCGAATATTCATTATGGTCTACCATTCGGTCCGCCGTTATGACGTCACACATAACACGTATTACCAGGAACAATGTCCGCGAATATACCCCGGTTGAAATGTTGACTTTATTTACAGTTTATAGAAGGCGTGAATACAGTCATGTTCGAATCTTGTATCCATTTCCAAAATTTATGAATAATGTATGAACAATGCTCAAAGGGAAAATGGTATGATTTGAACGTCACTTTTACAGTTTCAAAGCAGAAATGTGATTCCGCTGGGAGAGAGAAAGAAAATATTCCCGTTATTTCTAAATTTTTAAGGATTTTTTTTATTTCAAAACATATTTCAAATCTTGTCAATATACTTAAGTTTCTTTGGTTCACCAAAAGTGCCAAGATTTATTGTGCCAAGATGGATATGTTTTGTGTTGGAAAGGTCTATTTGCTTTGTGTTCATAGAAAGGTCTATTTGTTTTTTGTTAATGGAAAACTCTGTCTGTTTTGTGTTCATGGAGAGGTCTACTTGTTTAGGGTTCATGAGAATTTCTGTCTGTCTTGTGTTCATTGAAAGGACTATTTGTTTTGTGCTCATGGAAAACTCTGTTTGTTTTGTGTTCATGGAAAGGTCTAATTGTTTTATGTTCATGGAAAAGTCTGTCTGTTTTGTGTTCATGGAAAGGTTTATTTGTTTTGTGTTCATGGAAAACTCTTTCCGTTTTGTGTTCATGGAGAGGTCTATATGTTTTGTGTAAATGGAACGATCTATATGTTTTGTTTGAAACTTTGGTATTCTACACAATACATTCGAGATATTGAAAACTTTAGCTGTGTATACCATTTTGTTTTTAATCAGAGTGGTTAATTAGCCGAATGGTAATTTTCCTAATCTTGATATTCCTAATGACAAGAAACTTCCCATCGGATAACATCGAGGATATACTATTTCTGACATTTAATTTTCTGACTCTGGAAGAAATAAGGCAAATAACGTAGTCATGGGTTGTTTCAGTAATCCATATATACCCTAATTAACTATGTTATTTACATTAAAAGTGTCATTTTTGGTTTAGGCTACATTTCACCAACCTGATAATGGAAGGTTGATTTCAACAGATTCATTTCCTCGAGGTGGTATAGCTAAGCGGCTGGTAACAAATTCCAGTTACGTACGTCTGAGTGACACTCATTTAGGATTCTCTCTCGATCAAGATTTTGCAGATCGACATAAACCGGTATGATAAGCAATCATAAAATCTCTATTTAAATCTTTAGTATTTTAGTATTATTATTTTAATTTCTATTTCTCATTGTGAAAAGACTTATTCAACGACAAAATTCTTTACCCAAATCCATGCTTTATAACGAATATTGCATTTATTATGTATTTCAGTTCTTAATCGACCGTCCGATTGTCTATAAGAATTCTACATTACCGACGCATGTCATTGATAGAGATGTACTGGCTTGAATGATGCCTGATAGCTCGTGCGGATACATTTCATTTGTGAATAAATCGCCTGGGATAATACTAATTCAAGGTATACGTCTTGAACAGTGTACACAGGCATTCTATTAAATAGTATTGAAAATATCTGAACAATAAAGGGGAAAGTGTATATCAATGTATAAAGTATCACCATCTTTGAACAAGCGACATTGTGGATAATGGATTACAGCTAGCCCAGAGCGTTGTATCAGAGACTTGGGCAATATGGATGTAGCGTATTCCCCGAGTGAATAGACAACAATTTGGATAGGGATTAAAGTCTATAACTCCATACGCAGTTTACGAATACTACTTACAATGTTAAATAGGTATTAAACGGTCCAATGTGAAATATCATTTTTGTAAAGAATTACGAATACAGTCAGTATTCACCTAACTAACACTGTGGGGCAGTTTTAAGTTTAATTATGGAATGTGCGACATGTGTATAGAATGTATCTTTAAAAACAATTTGTCACTGCAGGATGCTGCGTTAAACTATCGTCCATTATGAATTTTAGCCTGAATAAAGCTCAAAACTAATAGTTTTACATTTGGCTCTTTGACAGTTTGCTTTTTATTCTGCCCATTAAGTTTAGTAATACAGTTTCAATGTAATTTCCTATACATATCTATTTTATTTGAGAGAGTATCATTATAATACTTACACGCTATATTTTCATTGTAGACATTGTAGAATATTGCAAATCACAATGCAGAATATTGCAAATCACAATGTACAATATTACAAATCACAATTTAGAATATTGCAAATCACAATGCAGAATATTACAAATCACAATTTAGAGAATACTACAAAGCACAATGTAGAACATTGCGAATCACAATACAAAACATTGCGAATCACAATACAGAACATTGCGAATCACAATACAGAATATTGCAAATCACAATACAGAACATTGCGAATCACAATACAGAATATTGCAAATCACAATGTACAAAACTACAAATCACAATTTAGAATATAACAAATCACGATGCAGAACATTGCGAATCACAATACAGACCATTGCGAATCGCAATACAGAATATTACAAATCACAGTGCAGAATATTACAAATCACAGTGCAGAATATTGCAAATCAAAATGCACAATATTACAAAGCACAATTTAGAATATTTTAAATCACAATGCAAATGTTGCAAATTACAATGACAAACCGTCGATTCAATTTCACGAAATTGAAGTTCCAACACTCTAGCTCAGTTTTACGTGGATATTGAAAATATTATAACATACCAATTGAACGACGTTTAACAGAAATATAGGCAGAAAGTCATAGTGGTGTCAGCTTACCCCCCTATCACTCCAAACTAGTTCTTACCCGTTCTTGCCAGTCCTACGAAAACGTCGTGAAACGGGCTCAATCTGGCTGTGGTCGGGAAATATGTCTGAAATAATTAGCTTATTTGCTCTTAAACAGTCTTCAATACGTCCATCTCGTTCGCAGTTCGTTCAGGTCGCACCACGTCGGTGTGCAACGTCGGAGAACGCGTCCCTTAGTCTAGAAGGTCAACATGACCTGATTACAGAACGGTATGGTCGCCATCGAATTTTGAATCGATTCAAAAATTTCGATTTCGATTTAAAATCACATTCCCGTCTGAGAACGTTCATAAAGTTCGTAAATAGACCTTAGAAAGTTGCGGCTACGTTCATTCCGTTTGCACACAGTTTAAAACCACTTTTGAAGAACGCAGTGGCAACTTGTTTGGTGTGATAGCTATATTTTTGCTAACTCGTTCATAAGCAGTGTTAAATACGTTCTTAATCAGTTTAAACCCGTTTGCAATTAGTTCTACCTCGTTCTCAACACGTCCTCAGACAGTTCAACTCGTTGTTGAAACGTCCCTAGTAGGATTGAAGTACGACGGTTCCGTTCGTAGTACGTCCAGCTCGTCGTTAGTACGTTGTCACTCGTTCTAATTGTAGAACGTGACGACCACGGGAACATTTTGAGCATGTCTAAGTTCTAGAGGACCTGGCCCGTTCAAGTACGTTCGACGAAGTTTGTAAATAGATCCCAAACGGTTCTTAGTAGGTCCAGTCCGTGCGTACACAGTTGAAGCACGTTTTTGAGAACGTAGTGAGAACTAGTTTGGTGTGATAGTAGGGTTAGAGGAGCATGATGGATTTTTCTATGCAAAACCAATGCAAGACTCATATCATTATAAACATCCAAAATTAGTAAGTACTTACTAATATACAGAGTTCCAAAATTACCAATTACATATAGAGATACACATAAAAGCACAATTTGCCATCATTTTTTATTTAATTATAATCGATTATCATATGTTATTTAATCTAACTATTCCCATGCTTATTCCAGAACATTTCCTTAAAATCCTAAGTTTGTTTTGAATCTGCATTACTCTGTTAGTGTTAATATATGTGCACAACGGGGCATCTAACTCATCCTTTCCCTTAACTACGCTTTGCAGCAGCAATAGTTCGGCCCACATCCCGCTGCTCCACATGAATTATAATTGTAAGTCTTCAATCCCAACCTCTCATTTCCCACCGCCCCGTGTGTGAACCTTGGTCGATTATGGTATACGTGGAGGGAGTTGACGCATGAAATTCTGAAAAATATATGAAATAAGTATTTATTAACATCTTCACACCGTAACACACCCACAGTGGCAAATGACCACGGCAACTCCAAATTGTGAGTAATAAAACAACATGAAATCAAAACAATCATAAAGTTGATTGTATGTTTGGAATATTTCTAGAAACAAAGTCTAAATCTTTCTCTTTGCCACAGATAGATATAAACAACTTTATTATTGAAGACAAGGAACAAGAACCTCGCATGTAAACAAACTACTTTTCCTTATGATATGAACAACACTGCCAGAATGCGACATGTGTATGCCAAAATACGACACACTTATGCCAAATCATAAAAGTCGTCCAAGTTCTCCTTTCCTTACAATGTGCTTACATACCGTATTCGCTATACTGAGCCAAGTTGATTGTGTACTGTCTATTTGTATTATGTACTGTCTATTTAAGAGTAGAATGTAAACAATTATATCGATGATGAATCGTCGGTCTCAGGATGGAAAGCTGGATGATTTTGCCACACCAAACTTGGCACCAGTTTTCTACCATCTGAGATCGACGATTTAATCATCGGTTAATTTGGTTAACTAATTAACAGAATTTAGGCAGACTATAAAAAGAAATGTTACATCAAATTATTTAGATTTAAGATTTAAGTTTTAGTTTTGAAGAGCACGCTGCCAAGAAAGATATTAAAACATTGAACATAAAAATTACTGTAGAAATCAGAGAAGGAAAAAGACTTGAATAAAATGAATCAATAAGTAAATAGTGAATTTATGTTACATTGTGTCATAATAAAAGACTAACAAAATGTCTGTGTCACAAATTGGGAACGTAACTGTCTTTTTAACTCTTCTTTGTTCTCATACCATGGGTAACGATTGGCGCGTATTTTGTAAAAGTATGTCGCTCATGTGATACTGTACGAGGGTTGTCAAAGATTTCTTAAACTTTTGCTCTCATATCATCAATTTTTAATCTGTTGACATCATATTTCAAATGGATGATCTATGGACATAATTTATTGTTGACTTCATAAAGTTTAAAGGAATAACACTGCATGGTTATATTATATTATCATAGCGAGTTTTGCCCCACAAGGGCACTTTTAAGGAGGCTAAATCCAGACAAAATTATCTAAAATTTTGAATTTAGGACCCAAATATATGCCTGTGATACTTTAAATATATTAATAGTTACTAAATTACTTGGAGCACATTTAAGATTTAATTAAATTGATCTGCACAGTGTCCAATTTCACTTTCAGAATATTGGCCTTTGCAAGGAGCCTTATGCACTATTGATGCCTTCTCACCCAGTTCTAGAACCCAGTCCTGACTCGTGGGGTCTTTGGCCTCCATGTTTCAGAGTCTTTGGCATATTAGGCTTGGCGTTGTCATAAGGGGACAAGTTATCATTTTTAGAGTTATTCTGCCATTTATAAAGGATGCTGTGAACTCCTTATACTTTCATCATGATGGAAGAATGAATTTCTGTGGCTGTGAGGCCAAGGGAAATTTGAAAAATATGCAACTGAATGCAATGACTTCCTATCAGGTTGAAGAAGTGCAGTTATTTTGCTATTTCTTGACCACATGACTGAGTTTGAATTTGGGGACTATTGAAGTGTGGCAATATAACATCGCAATCCTAACTGTCATTATTTGAGCCTGGTGAACATCATGCTGAAGTTTTTTGATTTTCCAAACGTTTTGATAATTAAGAAGAAAGAAATACAATAATAACACTTTAGACCTTTTTATTATTAGAAAATTAGTACCTGTCCCGCACAATCCTACCCCTGCATTGCTATAGCAAGCATTTTAAGACTTAACATTAATGCATGATGCTGAAGCCTCGGGATATAATATATAACACTTCTATTACATAGAGCATAGAGTTTTAGCTGAATCGAATAATATTCAAAAATAGGGCAAAAAATCAAGACTTTTTGGACAATCCTCGCATAAAAAACAATGCCAATGTCGTCAAATGTGCTCGTAAATAGCTTCTTTGATATAATTGCAAACAGGAAAAAATTGAATTAAGATATGATGAGACATAGATAGACATTTTTACAGTATCCGTTGTCAAGTATCATATTTTAATGAGCTAAATTGACAACTTCCACATGCTTGTATAACATACTTCGCTGAAAATTCCTGAATCCCTGTTTACAGCAAAGATGAAAAGTAGTAATAACTAGTTACATTATATGTAACCAGTCAAATGGAAAGAACACTACTCAGTGTTAAGGGTTCAGAAGCTATAAACTAGTAAAACATGCATATAAAAGAGAAAGTTATCTTAATTTACATAACTCCACCTATAGACAATCTATTTCTAAGGTACGGTTATCGATGCATAACTTCCCAATTGAACGAGGTCGATACTTCAAAGTAGAAAAATCGAAAAGATTTAAATATATTTATAGTTACTAAATTACTTGGAGCACATTTAAGATTTAATTAAATTGATCTGCACAGTGTCCAATTTCACTTTCAGAATATTGGCCTTTGCAAGGAGCCTTATGCACTATTGATGCCTTCTCACCCAGTTCTAGAACCCAGTCCTGACTCGTGGGGTCTTTGGCCTCCATGTTTCAGAGTCTTTGGCATATTAGGCTTGGCGTTGTCATAAGGGGACAAGTTATCATTTTTAGAGTTATTCTGCCATTTATAAAGGATGCTGTGAACTCCTTATACTTTCATCATGATGGAAGAATGAATTTCTGTGGCTGTGAGGCCAAGGGAAATTTGAAACATATGCAACTGAATGCAATGACTTCCTATCAGGTTGAAGAAGTGCAGTTATTTTGCTATTTCTTGACCACATGACTGAGTTTGAATTTGGGGACTATTGAAGTGTGGCAATATAACATCGCAATCCTAACTGTCATTATTTGAGCCTGGTGAACATCATGCTGAAGTTTTTTGATTTTCCAAACGTTTTGATAATTAAGAAGAAAGAAATATAATAATAACACTTTAGACCTTTTTATTATTAGAAAATTAGTACCTCTCCCGCACAATCCTACCCCTGCATTGCTATAGCAAGCATTTTAAGACTTAACATTAATGCATGATGCTGAAGCCTCGGGAAATAATATATAACACTTCTATTACATAGAGCATAGAGTTTTAGCTGAATCGAATAATATTCAAAAATAGGGCAAAAAATCAAGACTTTTTGGACAATCCTCGCATAAAAAACAATGCCAATGTCGTCAAATGTGCTTGTAAATAGCTTCTTTGATATAATTGCAAACAGGAAAAAATTGAATTAAGATATGATGAGACATAGATAGACATTTTTTACAGTATCCGTTGTCAAGTATCATATTTTAATGAGCTAAATTGACAACTTCCACATGCTTGTATAACATACTTCGCTGAAAATTCCTGAATCCCTGTTCACAGCAAAGATGAAAAGTAGTAATAACTAGTTACATTATATGTAACCAGTCAAATGTGCTTTTATCTAACCCTAGCAGCAGGTATTTTAGGAGTTTAATTGGCAAAATATATTTAAATGCCATTAAAAAGTTGTCAACATATATGTTGAAGTTGAGACTATTTTGCGATTCTTTATATAGTACGCATTGGTATATTGCTAAACGAATAGTGACTGCCACTGTCACTGCCATTTTCTTACAAAGTACACATTGGTATATTGGAACACGAATGGTGACTGTAACATTTTGGAAAGTATTTTGCCTTTCTTAACGAAGTTTATATTTGTATAAAGTAAAACTAATGGTGACTGTCACATTTTAGGAAAACATTCTGCTTTCCTTTACAAAATTTATTTTGGTATATGGGAAGGCGAATGGTAACTGCAACATTTTCGGAAAATATTTTGTTTGTTTTAAAAAGGACACCGCTCAATCCGTCCAACCGCCCTCGCGCCCGCACGTCCATGGACCCCTACATCATCACAAGACGTGCATCATCATTTAAAGATCTTTAAAGGCCGTATGGTTAGGTACCATAGTTTTATGTCTCTCCAAAATCAAAATTCGCCATAGCAATGCGACTGCTAAAGTAACTGACCACAGAAATTCTAGGGCGACCGTAGAACTGTTACTGGCAGAAATGATAGACCGTACAGTCGCCTTAGCAAATGTTACCGAAGCTTTAGTGCTCTATACGCCGCACTCATTTTAATATAAAAATACCTATATCGTAGCCATATTGACGCTTTGGTTATACAACTACCTCACTAACAAAAATGTTTTCATGAAGATTTTTACATCAAATATAACCTGTTACAAAATACAGAAGATGTAAAATAAAAACATTCAACCTTTGAGAATCCAATAGGTTAAAGTACCTACCCCCGATTTGCTACTTGTCCATCTTGTTTTCTCAAGTTGGGATCTTGGCAAATGGTGAGACACGTTCTAATACTTGGACATGGTCTGCGAACAGCGTAGGTCCATCCACCTGCTGTGTTCATGGCTGTACACGTTGCCTGGGCAATCTCGTCATAGTAGTTGGCATAGTCAGACTCGACATACTCCCCATGCATGTTGGGTACCATGGCAGCAATGAAGCTTAAAGCCAACATTCTTCTGATTCTCATCATATTCGAAATTGTATTGTCGTAGATTAAAACTGCCTGGAGCTCTTTACTTGTATGCGTCTTGTTGAAAGAATTTTTTGAATGAACTGCTTCGTCATAGTTACCTGGAATATATTGAAATTGAAAGACAATTGCAGAATCATTCAATATAAAATGGATTTAATGTCATGCCAGGCAATTCTGTTGATGATACGAGTTTAAAATGTCAGATAAGTTATATACAGGGTGGTCAAAAACCGGCAATCCTGGTTTTCTCCCATATCTTGTCATTTTAAACAATTTCTTACATTTTTTCAAGTGCTTGGCTTCCCAAGAAAACATACATCCATTATCAAGTTTGAAATAGAGTTCATCTGAATACCAGACCAGTTCAGACAGGCTGAAAGTGGCCATCGTGGGCATATGTTGTTTAAAATGCTTTGATATTGTGACTATCAGTCCGATGGTCATGAAATATGGTGGACTGGTAGGAAATTGAATGATGTACACATGTGCTTATTATCAGGGAGTTATTCCATCAAACGATAAAGATGTGAGGAAAAATTAGTGTTACCTCTTTTTACCACCCTGCATTAGTTCAAATAATGAAACTTGCAACAAAATGTATTTCCTTCATTTTAGACAGGCTTAAAGAAAAAACGACTAGTAAACATTTTCACACTCTGCAACCCAGTGTACAACACATCGACATTGGAACTGTATGATCATATATAAGAGAAATATCTGGACACACAATGTATCCCTTAAAATCTAAATAAACACAAACTACACAAAAGCACACTGCTAGTATATGAGACATAATTGAGCATGTCAGTATGATTCAGCAAACACCCTGAATGATTTATATTATTATATTATTTTAATAATCAGCATATGATAAATGTCGAGAACGTGATATTTTAAAAATGATTAGTAATTGTTACAATGCAAGAACAGCGACGACGGGATAGCAAGTCTCGTCAAACAGACACATTTATTATTTCAAAATTAGTCGTTCCTTCTGGTTCTCAACACAAATAAAAAGGGTAAAAACTGCGTAATTTCTAAAAGTAAAAAATAAGACAGATTTTGAGGAGGTTGAGTTAAAGATAGAGTGATAGTGACATCGTCACTGACGCGTGCTGCTATCAAGCATAGGAATTTAACACAAGGAATTTAATTCGTTTTGCGTTTTTAGTTATTTGTGCGCGATTTTTAATGGAAAGAACACTACTCAGTGTTAAGGGTTCAGAAGCTATAAACTAGTACAACATGCATATAAAAGAGAAAGTTATCTTAATTTACATAACTCCACCTATAGACAATCTATTTCTAAGGTACGGTTATCGATGCATAACTTCCCAATTGAACGAGGTCGATACTTCAAAGTAGAAAAATCGAAACGATTTTGTTTCTTTTGTATTTCAAAAAATACAATAGGTGATGAAGAACACGTTCTTTTTTGTTGTTCTCAATTAGAACTAAAACTAGCTCGATCTCAATATCTCAGTAAAATAAAAAGTATAAACAATAGTTTTTCTCATTTTAATACAAGTAGTCTATTTTTATACTCTCTGTTAGCGCACGATAATGCAATTAATGAAATAATTGGTGATTATTTTACAAGAGTTCACAATATTACCAAAGAGTTTTAAACAAAACTGATGTGAAATCATTTTATGCTATTTAGTAAAGTACTTAGTGATTGTTAAAATAAGATTGTAAGTATTGTTTTGCCATGCATGTACATGAATGTTTTTTTTTATTTGTTATTTGCTTTATTGGACTTATATCTCGATGTACATTACATGTTCAAGAGACCAATAAACTTATTAATAATAATTATTTTTTCTGAAATAGAGTCCAAATATGTTGACCAAATTCAAAATCGACTATTGGTTATTGAGATATATTTTTTCAAAAAGTGTAAAATTGACATATGTTTTCAATTGTGATTTCACCTATTATCGCCCACAGTTGTAATAGAATATCTTTCATAACATGTTTTTAAATTATATTTGAGTGTTTTGTGCAATAATATACTCTGTTCAATTATAAAGACCTTCACAGAGAGTAGCTATGACGTCATATCCGGTTTTGACAAATATTTTTAAAAACGTATATTTTCAAAATATTTATTTTGTTTTTCAATATGTTGAGGTCACTGATCATTAATCTGTAATCCTTTTTTCGATCCAACTTTTACTTTTCGAGATATGGTTGGGGGGCTGGACTTAAAAAACTTTTTCGAAATTTGTTCATAATTTTTATTATAATATTATAATCAACATGCCACTGAACAAACAACCGTGGGGCTGCTAAAACAAGAAATCTTTTGGGAAACAAGACACCAAGGCGCAATAAAAGCGATAACTAACTCACCCCCGGGGATCCCAAAACACCACTGACATCAAAGAAGCGTTCGACGCAATATTATACAAATGGTGGAACGACCTGAAGAATGCAGTCACCGTACACAGCCAAAAAAGATTTGTCTTTCACACGAAAACTCTCACCAAAAACTTGCCAACAACATATGTCACTACATACCACTACATATATATGTACATATAACAACTACCGACACCAACAATATAACCTTACCCATCGATACACTTTGAACTTATCAAAATCAACCTCTCCTACCAATATTAAAACTGTAAGCCCTTATAACTTAACTCAAGGGAATTAACAAAGAGCGACATCTTTCTATAAAACCGACAACAATTCCGCAAAACACGGAAAACAAGAATATCCAGATATGGGAAGACAACCCCCAAAAGTCCAGAAGTACTCGAAGGCAAAAACCGCTTTTACAAACTGGCTTCTTACGTACTACAGAAGCCGGCTTCTGGAGTCACCAAGAAGCCGGCTTTTAAAAGCCGGCTTCTGAAGGACAACAGAAGCCGGCTTCTGCAGTCACCAAGAAGCCGGCTTTTACAAACTGGCTTCTTACGTACTACAGAAGCTGGCTTCTACAGTCAACAAGAAGCTGGCTTTTAAAAACAGGCTTCTGAAAGACAACAGAAGCCGGCTTCTGGAGTCACCAAGAAGCCGGCTTTTAAAACTGGCTTCTTACTTACTGACGTACTGCAGAAGATGGCTTTTGAATATAGTTTATATTGTCATATTTTTGCAAAACTATACGGGTAAATTGAATTCTAAGCATGGATATCGATGAATTTGATCACGTTCATCAATTCCAAAAATATTATGCATTGTATTTCTGTTTAATAAAATCGCACCGCTCATTTTTCAAAACTGGCTCCAATTTGGAGCCAGTTTTCAAATCAGCTCGCACCATTAAACACAAGCTATGTAGGGACAATCTAGCAACTGGGAATCACGGGATACTGTCTCACGATCATTTCTATGTGCATTATGCATCTTATTCTCGTATAATTGGCCTGAAAATGAGAAAAAACTGGAAAATACGTAAAATTATTACATATTTCAAGATTTTTTGGAAAAAGTCATTTCAAGCCAAAATTATGACAGTAAATTGAATTCTAAGCACAGATATCGATGAATAAGATCACATTCATTAAATCAGAATAGATAATGCATTGCATTTCCGTTTAATAAAAACGCACCACTCACTTTTTAAAACTGGCTCCAACTTGGAGCCAGTTTGCAAATCAGCTCGCCCCATTTGACAAATGCTATGTAGGTACAATCTGGTAACTGGGAATCACGAAATACTATTTTTTGCAAAAAATCTTGAAATAAGTTACAATTTTACGTATTTTTCAGTTTTTTCTCATTTTCATGCAGATTATACGAAAATAAGATGCATAATGCACATAGAAATGATCGTGAGACAGTATCCCGTGATTCCCAGTTACTAGATTGTCCCTACATAGCTTGTGTAAGATGGAGCGAACTGATTTGTAAACTGGCTCCAAGTTGGAGCCAGTTTTGAAAAATGAGCGGTGCGTTTTTATTAAACGGAAATGCAATGCATAATCTATTCTGATTTAGTGAACGTGATCTAATTCATCGATATTTTTACTCAGACTTCAAATTTCTCTTATAGTTTTGACTTGAAATGACTTTTTGCAAAAAATCTTGAAATAAGTTACAATTTTACGTATTTTTCAGTTTTTTTTCTCATTTTCAGGCCAATTATACGAGAGTAAGATGCATAATGCACATAGACATGATCGTGAGACAGTATCCCGTGATTCCCAGTTGCTAGATTGTCCCTACATAGCTTGTGTAAGATGGAGCGAACTGATTTGTAAACTGGCTCCAAGTTGGAGCCAGTTTTGAAAAATGAGCGGTGCGTTTTTATTAAACGGAAATGCAATGCATAATCTGTTCTGATTTAGTGAACGTTATCTAATTCATCGATATTTTTACTTAGAAATGAATTTCCTCTCATAGTTTTGGCTTGAAATGACTTTTTCCAAAAAATCTTGAAATAAGTTACAATTTTACGTGTTTTTCAGTTTTTTCTCATTTTCATGCGAATTATACGAGAATAAGATGCATAATGCACATAGAAATTGTCGTGAGACCGTATCCCGTGATTCCCAGTTGCTTGATTGTCCCTACATAGCTTGTGTAAGATGGAGCGAACTGATTTGTAAACTGGCTCCAAGTTGGAGCCAGTTTTGAAAAATGAGCGGTGCGTTTTTATTAAACGGAAATGCAATGCATAATCTGTTCTGATTTAGTGAACGTGATCTAATTCATCGATATTTTTACTTAGAAATGAATTTTCTCTCATAGTTTTGGCTTGAAATGACTTTTTGCAAAAAAATCTTGAAATAAGTTACAATTTTACGTATTTTTCAGTTTTTTCTCATTTTCAGGCCAATTATACGAGAATAAGATGCATAATGCACATAGAAATGATCGCGAGACAGTATCCCGTGATTCCCAGTTGCTAGATTGTCCCTAAATAGCTTGTGTAAGATGGAGCGAACTGATTTGTAAACTGGCTCCAAGTTGGAGCCAATTTTGAAAAATGAGCGGTGCCTTTTTATTAAACGGAAATGCAATGCATAATCTCTTCTGATTTAGTGAACGTGATCTAATTCATCGATATTTTTACTTAGAATTAAATTTTCTCTCATAGTTTTGGCTTGAAATAACTTTTTGCAAAAAATCTTTAAATAAGTTACAATTTTACGTATTTTTCAGTTTTTTCTCATTTTCATGCAAACTATGCGAGAATAAGATGCATAATGCACATAGAAATGATTGTGAGACAGTATTTCGTGATTCCCAGTTGCTAGATTGTCCCTACATAGCTTGTGTAAGATGAAGCGAGCTAATTTGTAAACTGGCTCCAAGTTGGAGCCAGTTTTGTAAAATGAGCGGTGCGTTTTTATTAAACGGAAATGCAATGCATAATCTATTCTGGTTTGGTGAACATGATCTGCTGATTCATCGATATTTTTACATAG